TATAGTCGCACGCCCAAAACGTAGGTACGCGTATATGTACTAATGAATACATATCTTTGCTCTGTCTTACCGCATTGAGCACTTTACACCTCATGCATAAATTTAACGATTATTTATTTTCTTGCCTGCGTATGCACACCAGCACACGCGTATACGCCTGCTTATATTTGCACGTTTCATTTATCCACTCTAACTCTCTCTCTCTCTCTCTCTCTCTCTCTATATATATATATATATATATATATATATATATATATATATATATAGTATAATTTTTGTGTACTTACAGAACTCAGTGGCAAGGGAGAAATGAAGGAATTCAAATGTAATGTTGTGGACGAATATATAATGAACGATATTATTTTGTCTTTACGGAAAAATTATTGAAATCAGTTCCAGTCGACCCCATCTGATTGATGGGGAGTCAAAATTTACATATGTGTCTGTCAAGAAGCTACTTGTTACTTCAACCGCGGTGTAAGAAAAATGAGAACCACGCCTTGCAAAAAGTTGTTTTTCACTGCTTTTTTTTTTAAGTAATTCATTTTGGTTTAATCTTGTTCACAATTCATCAAATTAATAGGTTATTCTTTAACAAAACGTGGACATTTTTAATTTCAATTTCAAAAAAATGTTTAAATAAGTAGGCCGTATATGACAGAATATTTGCGACTGCTGCCCTGAATACAAGTTACCACTCGCTATATATATATAGCTACCTATTTCATCACGTCTCTCCTGATGAACCTTACTTACTTTTCTTTTTTTTTTTTTTTTTTTTAAGCAAACAACACTCTTCCACTCGGAAGGGATGCAAGAGAGGTTCATATAGTTGTAAAGATCAACTGCTGATAAACAAAATTATCCTGGAAAATCGAAGGAGAAGATATAGAACTTTTAGTGCAGCCTGGATAGAATATCGTAAAGCCTTTGATAGAGTGCCAGACTCTTGGAGCCTTAAGACTTTGGAAATGTACAAAGTGTTGAGGGGTCCACCCCTTTTTATGCAAATGAACTCACTCAGTATATACATATACTACTGCAAGAGGGAGATGAGAGTAAGAGAGAGCAAGACCGAAGAGTCGAGTTGAGTCCAGAGTGACAGAGTAAAAGCTTGTAGGTAACCGGAAGAGTGAGGGTGAGGTAACAGCGTTGTAGAGTCACAGTGAGCGAGCACGTAGACTCAGTAAGAAGTCATACAGCAATACTTCAATACCAAAGACTGTATATATATATTTTGCTACTAACCCGCTTTCCTGGAACTACTAACCTGCATTACCAGTTTGTATTATTACGTTAATACATTATTTTCCTATATTCATTCCTGGCGTTTGTTATTTATTGGTACCGGATTTCAACGCGGAATCCACAACACAAAGTCTCTCTGTGGTAGTAAATTTCCTTAAGCACAGTATGAGAATGTGGAATACAACGTTATACCTAAATCACACTAGAGGCACTGCCATCTCCAACCGTCTGAATATCTGACGTGGAATCTTTCAAGGAGACTCCCAGTCACCCCTTTTGTTTTGTCTTTCCTTAATCACCCTTACGCGTGAATTAAACAACAGTAGCTATGGTTACAAACTAAACAAAAATATTCAATCACCTATTCTACTTGGATGATCTCAAACTCTTTGCCAAAGACGACAATGAGTTGAAGGGCCGCCTCAATATTGTAAAAGGTTGCAGTGACGACATAGGTATGAACTTCGGATTAAATAAATGTGCAAAAGTAACATTCAAGAAAGGGAGAATTACAGAAACACACTCAATAGACTTAGACTGTCACAAAGATTAGGGGACTGAAACAAGATGAAGCCTATAAGTACCTAGAAATTAGCGAAGGGGATGTTATACAACCCCCCACCCCAAATGAAGGAGAAGGTGAGAAAGGAGTACTACAGGCGTGTACGTCTGGTACTGAACACCGAACTGAATTCAAAAAACAGAATATCAGCCATAAACACCTTGGCTGTCCCTGTGGTGCAATACAGCTTTAACATCATTAACTGGACCATAGCTGACATTAAGCGAATGGACGCCAAGACGAGAAAGCTTCTCACTTGCTACCGCATGCATCATCCCAAAGCTGATGTTGGTCGTCTGCATGTGCCGAGATCCGAAGGAGGTAGAGGATTAGTTCAACTAGAATTGTCTTACAAAACTACAACAATTGGCCTTCAATGATATCTGGAAACTACAGAAGACTGGATGATGATATGTGTCAAAGAATATGAAAGTAGTAAGCGTCTTTATTCCGTAATAAGGGAAACCAACAAGTTCAAAATGGAGTTTCAGACGACTGCAGAAATACAAATAAACCACAATACACCGACTGAAGCTGTAAAATACTTAAAAAAGAAAGCAAAAGCAAATGCAACCGACCAGATACAGAAACGGTGGTAAGATAAACCGCTTCATGGCCAAAACTCTGCCCGTACTAAACAAGCTGACGTAAACAAACCCCGTACTTATCAGTGGCTATGTAGTGCAGGGTTGAAAGCTGAAACTGAAGGTTTTATCCTTGTTGCATAGGACCAATGCTTGTTAACTAAAAATTATCAAGTACACATACTAAAATCTTGTGTTAGTCCAAAATACAGATTCTGTGATAAATATTGAAAATTGATCACCTTGTATCAGGTTGCACGGTATTGGCACCCACTGAATATAAAACCCGGCATGACAGAGTTGGCCAATATCTGCACTGGAAAATTTACAACTTCTACGAGTAGGAGACTGAAAGAAATTGGCATGAACACCACCAAGACCCGGATACATAGATAGGACTTGTTACAATTTTATGAGACTACACAGACAGAACAATCAAGGCCAACCGCCCAGACAATGTTATTAGAGACCACAAACAAAAACGGTACCGCCTTATTGATATGGCAGTCCCTGCAGAATGCAATGTATCTTTAAAGATCTTCAAAAAGCTACTAAAATACAAGAACATTGAAATCGAAATCACAAAAATGTGGCAGATGGGAACATCAACAATACCTGTTGTAGTTGGAGCCCTCGGATTGATTGGAAAAGATTCCAATAGACTCATTGAAGGATTCCTGGAAGCATACGCCTTAAAGAAATACAAAAAAATGTTCTCACGAGTAGAGCCCACACATTACGAAGGGCTTTATCTATGTAAAATGTGTGTGTGTGGAAAATGTCATGATACCATCTCTAACCTTAGGTCCCTGGCGCGGGACCCGGAAAGAAATGTGTACACACCAGAAATCAAAGGAAATAATAATAATAATAATAATAATAACAATTTAAGACATCAATTTTCGTTAAAACTTTAGCAGTTTTTATTAATCTATCTTGCTAGATAATCGAAATCTTACCGTTGGTGGATTTAAAATTTTAAGTAACCCTTCTCTAAAAAAAAAAAAAAAAAAAAAAAAGTGGCAAACACCATTTAGTTAAATAGTTTCAGCATCCTAGATTTGTAGGACTAAAAACAAAAACGGGATAAAACTTACTAATTATTAAATCCAGAAGATAGCCCAACATTTTAGCCTATAGTGTAACCATATATATATATATATATATATGAGCAGAGTACCCATAAAAAATGAAGGGATCATTTACTATAGATCGGAACTAATGACTGCGACCTGTATATGCACTCATTTAGAAAATCCTGCATGCAAATGTATACTTGATACACGGGGCATTAGATAGATAGATAGATAGATAGATAGATAGATAGATAGATAGATATGAACAGACTGGGATAGATAGATAGATAGATAGATAGATAGATAGATAGATAGATAGATAGATAGATATGAACAGACTGAGATAGATAGATAGATAGATAGATAGATAGATAGATAGATAGATATGAACAGACTGAGAGAGAGAGATTTAAGATTTAAAGTCTAATACCCTTGTAAAAAATCAGGGATCGATTTTATACTGTATCGATATTATGAACAGAACCTCGCCCTTTTAAATCGATAAAAGAAATCAATGTTTTGCGATTCTAGCAAATTTCATGGAAATTTTCTAAGTGAATGTCTAAGGAATGCTAATCTAAAAAAAAATATTCCCCGAAAACAGTTTCCTTATTTTTACAAGTGGACCACACTTTTTAAGTAGTTCCCAGTGTAGTTTTTTTTTTTATTTCTGGGAATAAGAAAATGGCAGTGTAACGCTTAATATCACGTCTCTTCTTCTCGTTTCTCGTATTTTCTAATAAGAAATTATATCCATTATGAAGTTGTCATTCGTGTCTGCCAAAAGAAAAGAGTCAAAAGAAAAATAGGATTTAAAAATAGGATTGGACATGGTTGAGTTCGAGATGTCATTTATATTGGATCTTATTATTGAAGAAGAATTGAAATGAAATTGGACAAAGATGTAGGCGAGGGGACAAAAAAGAAATGAAGAATGGATACGGGAGGGAGGGGGGAGAAGAATGAAGAAAGAGAGGAGAAAAGAACTAGAGGGAGTTGGAGGGCGAGAGAAAAAAAAAGAGACAATGTAAAGCGTAAGAAGAAAAGTAATTGAAAATGGGCGAATGTTGATGTGGTGAATAAAGGCAATAGAAAAAAAAAGGGCAAATGAAAAGCAGGAGAAAGGGAGAAGATGGGGAGAAAGAGAGAGAGAGGAACAACGAAAAGAGAAAGAGGGCGAATGAAAAGCAGGCGAAAGAGAAAGTAAGGAAAATCAAGAAGAGGGGGATAAAGAAAAGAGAAAGAGAGGGGGTAAAACACGAGGAAAAAAGGAAAGATGAAAATGAAGAAGAGGTGAATGAAGCGAAGAGAAGAGAAAAGAAATAAAAATAAAGAGGACGGAAAACAGGTGGAAAAAAGGAAGGAGGGGGAAATGAAGAAGAAACGATGAGGAAGAGCGGAAAGAAAGACAATAAAAACGAGGAAGTAGGGGAAATTAAAAATGAGAAGAATAAAGAGAAGAGAAGAAGAAGAGGAAAGCAAGAGAGAAGAATAAAAGGAAGGACGAAGATGAAGGGGGGGGGAAGTTTTTTAAAAAGTGAAGGAAAGGAAGAAAAAACAAAAGGAAAGAACAGAAAATGAAGAGGCGAATAAAAAGAAAGAGACGAAAAAGAAGAAGGAGGGGGGAAATGAAGGGGAGGCGAATAAAAAGTAGAGAAAGAGAGGAAGGAAAAAAGGGAAAAAATGGGGAGGTGAATAAAAAGAAAAAACGAAAGGAGAAACAGGAGAAAAAGAAGGAGGGGGAAATGAAGGGGAGGCGAATAAAAAGTAGAGAAAGAGAGGAAGGAAAAAAGGGAAAAAATGGGGAGGTGAATAAAAAGAAAAAACGAAAGGAGAAACAGGAGAAAAAAAAGAAGGGGGGAAATGAAGGGGAGGCGAATAAAAAAGTAGAGAAAGGGGAGGAAGTGAAAAGTGAGGGAAAAATGAGGAGAAACTAAAAAGAAAGAAACGAAAGGGAAAACAGGTGAAAAGAAGGAGGGGAAATGAAGGGGAGGCGAATAAAAAGTAGAGAAAGGGAGGAAGGAAAAAAGAGAACAAATGGGGAGGTGAATAAAAAGAAAGAAACGAAAGGAAAAACAGGAGAAAAAAGAAGGGGGAAATGAAGGGGGGCGAATAAAAAGTAGAGAAAGGGAGGAAGTGAAAAGTGAGGGAAAAATGAGGAGAAACTAAAAAGGAAGAAACGAAAGGAAAAACAGGTGAAAAAGAAGAAGGAGGGGAAATGAAGGGGAGGCGAATAAAAAGTAGAGAAAGAGAGGAAGGAAAAAAGAGAAAAAATGAGGAGGTGAATAAAAAGAAAGAAACGAAAGGAAAAACAGGAGAAAAAGAAGGAGGGGGAAATGAAGGGGAGGCGAATAAAAAGTAGAGAAAGAGAGGAAGTGAAAAATGAGGGAAAAATGAGGAGAAACTAAAAAGAAAGAATCGAAAGGGAAAACAGGTGAAAAAGAAGAAGAAGGGGAAATGAGGGGAGGCGAATAAAAAGTAGAGAAAGGGAGGAAGGAAAAAAAAGAGAAAAAATGGGGACGTGAATAAAAAAGAAAGAAACGAAAGGAAAAACAGGAGAAAAGAAGGAGGAGGTGAAATGAAGGGAGACGAATAAAAGTAGAGAAAGAGAGGAAGTGAAAAGGAGGGAAAAATGAGGAGAAACTAAAAAAAGAAACGAAAGGGAAAACAAGTGAAAAAAGAAGAAGAAGGGGAAATGAAGGGAGGCGAATAAAAAGTAGAGAAAGGAGGAAGGAAAAAGAGAAAAATGGGACGTGAATAAAAAGAAAAAACGAAAGGAGAAACAGGAGAAAAAGAAGGAGGGGGAAATGAAGGGGAGGCGAATAAAAAGTAGAGAAAGAGAGGAAGTGAAAAGTGAGGGAAAAATGAGGAGAAACTAAAAAGAAAGAAACGAAAGGGAAAACAGGTGAAAAAGAAGGAGGAGGTGAAATGAAGGGGAGGCGAATAAAAAGTAGAGAAAGAGAGGAAGGAAAAAAGAGAAAAAATGGGGACATGAATAAAAAGAAAGAAACGAAAGGAAAAACGGGAGAAAAAGAAGGAGGAGGGAAATGAAGGGGAGACGAATAAAAAGTAGAGAAAGAGAGGAAGTGAAAAGTGAGGGAAAAATGAGGAGAAACTAAAAAGAAAGAAACGAAAGGGAAAACAGGTAAAAAAAAAAAGGAGGTGAAATGAAGGGGTGGCAACTAAAAAGTAGAGAAAGAGAGGAAGGAAAAAAGAGAAAAAATGGGGACGTGAATAAAAAGAAAGAAACGAAAGGAAAAACGGGAGAAAAAGAAGGAGGAGGTGAAATGAAGGGGAGACGAATAAAAAGTAGAGAAAGAGAGGAAGTGAAAAGTGAGGGAAAAATGAGGAGAAACTAAAAAGAAAGAAACGAAAGGGAAAACAGGTAAAAAAAGAAGGAGGAGGTGAAATGAAGGGTGGCGAATAAAAAGTAGAAAGAGAGGAAAAAAAAAAGAAAAAAAATGGGACGAATAAAAAGAAAGAAACGAAAGGAAAAACGGGAGAAAAATAAGGAGGAGGGGAAATGAAGGGGAGACGAATAAAAAGTAGAGAAAGGCGGGAAGGAGAAAAAATGGGGAGGTGAATAAAAAGAAAGAAACGAAAGGAGAAAAAGAAGGAGGAGGGGAAATGAAGGGGAGGCGAATAAAAAACAGAGAAAGAGAGGAAGTGAAAAATAGGAAAAATAAGGAGGTGAATAAAGAGAATGAAAGGAAAGAAAATAAGAGAAAGAGAGGGGGAAATGAAGAGGAGAAGACTAAAAAGAAGAGAAGGAGACAAAGGAAAAACAGAAGAGGAAGGAGGGGAATAGCAACGACTTTTTCATCTTTTTTTTAACACTCTTCTGTTGTCTGCTCCTGCGGAAAGTTGAAAAAAAAAAAAAAAAAAAAAAAAAAAGTGTGGCGATGCCCTCAGCGACCGAATAAAAAAAACGTGCCGGACTATGGGAGTTGCCGGACCATGTCTCTATAGCAAAGACTTTACCATCATTTTGAGCGGACAAATTAAATGTAATCATTATTAGGGTAATTCTTTAATAAAAGAGAGGATAATAAGAAAAAGAAAAGGAGGAGAAAAAGAGGGGAAAAAAGGAATAGAAGAAGAATAAAAAAGAGAGGAAAGAAAAACAGGAAAAAAGAAAAAAAGAGGGCAAAACGAATAAAAGGAGAATGAATCGAATAGGAGGAGGATGTATAGAAAGCGGGTGGCAAGCAGAAGGAAGAGGAGGAAAAATAAAAGAGGAGGAAATATGACAAAGGAGGGGTAGAGAGAAAAAAGAAAGGCGAACGAACGAGAGAGGAGGAAATGTGAATAGGAACAAGAGAGACAAGGAGGAAAAAATAGAGAGCAGTAAAGGAGGAGGAAGAGGCTGGCTTAGTAGTAGGAGGAGGAAGAGGTAGAGAATAGTGGTGGTAGGAGAAGTAGTGCGAAAAGGATATGGATGGTGAGTTGTAGAAAATTCCTGATCTCTATACCGGATATTAACGTCTCTCGTCGACACGATATTTCGCACGTGACACGTCTTTGGGCTTGTCTCATTTTAGATGATCGATCCTTTTTTGAAAAAGACTATGGTAAGTTCAGAATAAGGGGCTTATTTTACCCCGATTCTGATTTTAGAATATATTTTGTTCTTTTTTTCTACCCGGGCTCCATTTTCCATTGTTGTCTGCAGGTAAAAAAAAAAATAATAATAACAAAAGATAAGATTTAAAAAAAGGATTAACTGAAATAAACAATCAAGGACATACAATGGAGAATTTTAAAAAATATATATATATGATTTTAGAAAGAAAGAAGAAAGAAAGGACCTGCCAGAGGAAATCCCCATTTCCAGCACGCAATATTATCTGTGCATCCGGAACAGACAAGGCAAGTGTTTTATTAAAGAATAACCTAAAAATGATTATATTTAATTTCGCCCCCCAAAATGATGGTTCTTGCTATAGAGACGTCGTCCGGCGACTCCCATAGTTCGGCATTTTTTTTATTCAGTCTTTGAAGGAATTTTCACACGTTCTTGACAACTTTCCTCAGCAATAAACAGCAGAAGTGTGTTAAAAAAAGATGCTAATATCATTCCTATATACACGTAGTCCGAAAACTCACATAGTCCGGCAACTCCCATAGTCCGGCAACTCCCATGGTCCGGCAACTCCCATGGTCCGGTACTTTTTTTATTCAGTTGTTGAGGACATCGCCACACATTCATTACAACCGTCCTCAGCAATAGACAGCAGAAGAGTGTTTTAAAAAGAATGGTAAAATCCTTCCTATAAAGACGTGGTCCGGCAACTCCGATAGTCCGGTACTTTTTTATTCAATCGTTGAGAACATCGCCATACGTTCTTTAAAACTTTCCGCAGCAATAGACTGCAGAAAAATGTTTTTTAAAAAGATGGTAAAGTCCTTCCTATAGAGAAGTGTTCCGGCAACTCCCATAGTCCAGCAACTCCCATAGTCCGGCAACTCCCATAGTCCGCCATTGGTCTTTTTTAACCGATGAGGGTAACCTCCACCGCAGAAAAATGATACCGTCTAGCTCTGTTCTTATATATAACTGCATATTTACCCATTTTTTGCCTTGTATTTCACGTGGTGGAGTAGTTGATCCTTTTCTTTTCTGATCATGAAAACCGGGTTTCGAATCTCATCATCGTCGATTTATCGGTCCGGAGGAGTCGATCCCAGCATACGGCACCTTTGAAAAGTGCCTGAAAACCATGCCAAGCTTTGTGAGTGAAATTGGGTAGACGGAACTCTTGGAAGCCGTGGGTGGTTGTGCTAGCGTGACCGAGGGTCTGAGTGTGCTGGCCTTGTTGATAACGCGCTCTCTTTCAGAAACTGTAACTAAGGTCCGCTCAGCGTAGTTGTAGTATAAACCTGTAGGTGTTGAACAAATTTACCTGAGTAGGAATCTGCAATAGGGATTAGCCAGCCTCCCGAGCAGACCTGCCATTTACATTGCATGAAACAATAAAACCTGGTTTGGAAGTATGAATGATTGTTTTATTTCCTGTTTTGAGCTTTGTTCTACCTTTGATAACCCATCAATATATATATATATATATATATATATATATACAGTGTAACCCGGATATAAGAGAAACCCGGATATAAGAGAGATTTTCTCTGCTCCCAAATTAGAGCCTGTGTTAATGTACATATAATAGACCAAACCGGATATAAGAGAAACCCGGATATAAGAGATTTTTTCTGGTCCCAAATTAGAGCCTGTGTTAATGTATATATAATAGACCAAACCCGGATATAAGAGAAACCCGGATATAAGAGACTTTTTTTCTCCGGTCCCGAAATCTCTTATATCCGGGTAACACTGTATATATATATATATATATATATATATAAATTAAAACAGACCACTTTAAGCCTCCATTGTAATAATTTATTTCACCAAAGAATTTTTTTTCCTTCTCTGGATCCTCAGATTTCACTTTTAAAAAGTGAAACGAAAAATGAAATTAAAATTTACACTTTTGACGGGCAGTATTAAGCTTATATAAGTTCCGTTGAGTTGACCGATTAAATAGGTAAGTGTCTGATTCTTACCCCCCTCCTTCCTCAATATTAAGTATTATAAAAAGAAATATAAAAATAAATTTTAAAACTCTCTCATTCCTCTCTAAACTCGACCATGTTTCTCATAGCATCCCTCACCACTATCTATGTCAACTTATATAAACTTAATACTGCCCGTCAAAAGTGTCAATTATAATTTCATTTTTCGTTTCACCTTTTTAAAGTGAAGCCTGAGAATCCAGAGAAGGATAAAATTCTCTGGTGAAATAAATTATTACAATGGAGTCTTAAAGTGGTTTGTTTTTCTTTAAATTAAACTATTCGCTATGAATTAACATTGAGCTCTCAAGATTTCATCCCTTTGAATTATCCATACGGATTAGCAAGGTTTTCGTTACTTAACTATATATTAACTATATATATATATATATATATATATATATATATATATATATATATATATGAAGAAATAATAGTCTTAAGATGTGCTATATTTATGGGATAAAGTGCTCAATATCAGAGATAGAGTGTGTAAAATATAAAAGTGAACATAGAAGTCAACATTAGAGGCGACAGTTTGTTTTATGCTAGAAGCAATTGTGGCCTGACGATTGCATCTAGCATGAAACAGACTGTCGCCTCTAAGTGTTGACTTCTATGTTCACTTTCATATATATATATATGTGTGTGTGTGTGTGTGTGTGGAATGAACTGGCAAGCCTATGTTTACGTAGCTTCTTTTTAGGACTGATTTCTGTCATCTGGCATGTTCTGCAGTATCTTGTTCCAAGGGAGCCGGATTATGAAGTCGAACACTATTTGTTGAACCGAAATAGACTGGTCCATTCGTAAAAAAGAAGGAAAACAATTTTCGGCTAATATTATGCTAATATTTTTGCTAATATAATTTTTATGATATTTATATGATAATTTTATGATATATTATGATATATTTTCATATATTTTTATGATTTGCTAATATTTTGATAATATTTGGTAATATTTTGCTAATATTTTGACAATATTTGTAAATATTTTGCTAATATTTGCTAATATTTTGTTAATAATTTGCTAACATTTGATATTATTTTGCTAATATTTTGCGGAAATTTTATACAGATTAGCATTCTTTAAATGTTCCTTTGTCAGAATCGAAAAATATTAATTTTTTTCGACTTACAGTCGAAAAAATCCCTGATTTTTACAGTGTTATTGGACTTAACTGTTATTTACAAATGTCAAATTTGAAACTCCGCTTTCATCATTGATATCGACATTTTTTAAAATTCTCTCATTTTTTTAAAAACATTTTTTAACTTTAAAAATAACTGTTTGTGAGCAGTTTTATTGAAAACATATTCACAAACATTGCGCAATTATTGTTTATTCTAAATGAGGAATAAATGTATATATGCTTTTAATACCTTTTCTAAATTTTGTTTATTAATTAAAAGTATACATCTCAGTTTCTTCTTTATTTAAAACGAATTTTCTTGTAAAAAAAATCTGTTTTCGTACGCAAAGTAACAATTAAAAAACAAAAAAAAAATTCAAGGATCGATTTCATCCTTTATCAATATTATAAACAATGACCCTTCCAAAATGATAACTAATCAATTTTTTTCATTTCTAACAAATGTCGAACATTGAATCTAAGTAATGCGAATCTACAAAAATTATTTCCAGAAATTTTTTTCCCAGATTTTTACGAGTAAGACCGCCATAATAACAATTAAAAGGTTTATTCTATAATCGGACATTATTTTCGGAACAATCTAATATGTTAGAACACAATTAAAATGTTTATTTTAAAATTGGACATTATTTTCCGAACCCTGTATTTTAAATTCGGATATTATTTTCCGAACGACCTAATTTTTTAGAACAATAAAGATTTATTCTAAAATCAGACATTATTTTCCGAATATATATCTAATATATTAAAACACAATTAAAAGCTTTATTATAAGAATAAATAATTTTAAGAATAATAATATTCTAGAATACAAACAGTTTATTCTAAAATCGGACATTATTTTCTGAACAACCTAATTTGTTAGAACACAATCAAAATGTTTATTCTAAATTTTAGCGAATAATAGTAGATTTACAGGGTGTTTAAAAAAGAATACACCAAAATCATTAGGCTGTTTTTTCCGGTCTATAGCATTGTAGTGAACTGAATCAGTGGTTATTTGATAGAGTAGTTATCAAAGTTTGAGTGGGTGTCAGTTTCACCGCTGTCGTTAATATAACTTCCGGTGCATCTACAAACAGGACAAACCTATCTCGAAATGCTCCAAAAATGGCTATTCACTTTACTGCAAGCAGATTCGAATGACTTCATTTTTCATCAAGATGGAGCACCACCCCATTGGCATCTCGGGGTTAGAGCTTATCTGAATGAAAACGTGCCTCAGTG